CAACAACATAGACAACAGCAACATAGACAACAACACAACTAATAACTGCACCACAACCAACAACGACAACGTTAACAATGGCAGCAATGTCATCAACAACAATAAAAACGTCACAAATTACGTCACAAGTGACAAACAAGCAGACGAGAATACTTCATCAAAAACCGGAAATGAACTCGTTGCCATAGATGACGTAAAGTGTCGCCTGTGCTACGGCGGGTTCGCTTATTTAGTTTTTTGATTTCAATTAAAATTTAAGTCTGTAAAAATTGTAAAGATATTTTGTTTTTTAAATATGGTTGAAAAGTTTTGTGGAAATATAAAAATTAAAAGTTAAAAATTATGTTACCTTTTATTGCCAAGGTTTTATTCTCACTCATGTACCAGCAACAACCACAACAACGATAACAGCCGATTAAAATCATGCTGCTACGACAAACAACAACAACAACATTTCGACTGCCAGGTCGACAAACTCAACTGCTCAACAACGAAACAACACTTCAGCCAACTACAAAACAACAACAACACAAATTTCTATTACAATTTATCACCTCAAAACATCAACAGCAATAACATCATCATCAACAACAACAACAATAGCATTCTACAGCAACAACAACGAAACTACACCAAGTATCCGCCCCAACCTGCACTGGCCAAGATAGCGGCAAGTTGTCGGTTCGCCGGTTTACCGACATTTGGCGTTGTCAGACGACGCAGTTTTACCGAAGAGTTTGCCATCGCTCCGATACCGACATTCAACTTTGACTACTCAGCTAATAATAACACGTTCGGCTTTGATCTACAGGCAGGCAATCCTGGATTCGGTTTCGATGTTTCGCCGGTACCGAACATCATACCGATTCGGTCCTACACGCAAGGGGATGCAGCTGCTGCATCTGCTGTTAACGGCTACTTCTATCCGACTGGCGATCTGTACGACGATAACAACTGTAAGTATTTCAATAAAAACGTCAACTTATGTTACGGGAGCAAGAGTTATAACAGCGGCAACAACACCGGCAACAATTTGATGAGTTGCAACAATGCTAACAACGTTGGCTACGTTGATTATTTCAACAACATCAACAACGCCAGCAACAAAATCTGCAACAGCACTTTGTCAAGCGAGTACAAGAAAGCGAGACCTGACACAAATACCACGTTTAGCAAGATGACGTCATTCGTTGAGCCAGACGTCAACAGAAATACCATTTTGCAGAACTCATGGTGAGGCAATCAGCAGACGATCAACCCTTGCGCAAATGTGTATGTGTATGTGTCGTACCGTCAAACGTGTTTATAAACAGTTGTTCTGTATGTGTTGCATATGTATATATTCACTTTCACACAAAAACGCATTATTATTTTATTTGTTTTCATTCTACTGTCAAATAAATACAAACATACATTTAAAATTTATCTGATCGTTACGTTTTGCTGGAGCTGCTAGAAAATATAAATTGGAAATAATATGAAATCAGTTAGTGATAATTTGAAAAACAATCAGCGAATTAATTAATATTTGTGCTCTGCCCAGGCAGGCACGTACGTAAATTTTAAGAAAGTGAACTGACTCGTTGCGAAACGACGATTGTATCTCGCCATTTGGTCTCACGAACAAAAGAATTCAACCCTGTAGTAGCAATTTTGTCGATAGGTAGAACCAACAGTTTCAAATTTCTGAGCCTCCACCGCCAGCTTGAACCTCCTTCTTCTCCTTGCTACGACCTTATCCTTTTCGTCAACCAGATGCCACGTAGTTTCATTGAAACTGTGTTTGGCATTTTGTCCTCCAACTCAAAGCCGACTTGTTGCTATTACAAACAGTTGCCTCGTGCATGTGTGAATTTTTATGAAACATCTTACTATTTCATTTTAAAAATAAGGTACACACGTACATATGAAGACACTCACATACACACATAAATGCACGCTCACACGCATATATGCACGCTCACACACATGTTTACGCACACGCACACACATACGTTTAAAAATGACCTGCTGCTATTATAGATGATCTCCGTGCCACCTTGTTAATAAACGAAATGAGGCGTTTAATAAAACAACTGACCAGTTGATATGTGCCTGCTTGTGTGTGTGTGCGCGCGTGTGTGTGAGGGTGTGTGTGTGAGGGTGTGTTCAGTTCCATTTGCTTGTTTCTGTTTATTTGTGCTGGTGAGTTACTTATTGCCACACTAATGTGTTGCAGTTGCAGCCATCCTCATCTTCATCATCGTCGTCATCTTTTTAATGTCATCATCATCATCATTATCATCGTGGTCAACCTTCTAATTTTAACGTTCACAAGCGAGACAATAACTAAATAACTAATGGACGAAGGAGCGGTCAGTTCGAAGATTAAATGAAGGCAATGAAGTTTATAAAGACTGAAAAAGCTATGGAGCGAAGAACCGAACGAAAGAATAGATGAACGGAAGAACCAACGTATGAACAAAAGGACAAACGAACAAATAAATGAAAGATTAATGAAAAATAATTCAAATTCAAACGAACCGAGGAAGGAAGGAACTTAAAAACGAACGAAAAGGTAATTGAGCAAACGAACGAACAGGAAATTGAGCAAACGAACGAACGAGCGAACCAACCTACCAACCAACGAGTAAATGAACGAACAGAAGAATGAACGAGTGAATGAATGAATCACCAAGCCAAGAACGAACAAATATAACAGAAATAAATAAACGATAATAACGAAAATCATAAGAGGAGCCCTGGCGAATGTAATGAGAAAAATTCCTGTTGCCATGGCGACGATAAATTAACAATAGACCGTGTACGTGGTACGTGTGTGTACATGTGTGTACATGTGTGTGCGCGTGTGTGTGCGTGTGCGCGTGTGTGCACCTAAATCGCTGTACGCATTTGATTGTTACACAATATTCTCCGTCGCTGATAATACCGATGATGATGACGACGATGATGATGGTGATGACGATGACGACGACAATGATGATGATGACGACGACGATAATGATTATGATAGCAACGGTTCTTCAAAGAGGATGATGGCAATGCCAATGATGCAACAGCAGTTATGGAAGATACACGAACATGGAATGAACAACACTGTTAGCTCCTTTATAAATATATAACACGATGACGAAGAAGATGACGACGATGGTCAAGATTGCAGGTCACGTGACGAAACGAGTGGACGCTGTCACAAATGTCTGTCCATTCACGCCTTGGCTATTGAGACAATGCAGATGACGACGATGATAAAGAATGAGGATGTTGATGATGATTGGAATGATGATGATGACGATAATATGAATTATTCTTTAGCATCAATATACGTGATAATATCGTACATTCATCAGTGTTTAGTGAAACTTAACAGAACATTTCTTCCAAATTTAAATAACAATTTACTTCGTGGCCAGAATATTGAATTTAAAATCCACATAGAATTCAAAATTTTATATTTTTGAAACAATAATCTAAATTAAAAAAACATTTTAAATGAACTGAAGCAACAAATTCTGTTTAAAATAAAATTTCCTTTATAACAACGTGTCTATTAATTGCTGTCATGTCACACTGACCTGATTCAAATGCAAACTCATCTTCACTTAGCATTGCATGATTCTAAATATGCATAACGCTTCGTTGCTGTCATTGTGCATTTTCTTGGCGTTCCAGCAAGTCAGGCTACCTGTATTACACCTTCTATTTTTCGTTTCCCTTTATTTTTCCATATAATTGAAATTGGTGTTAAATTATGTCTTGTTGATCAAATCAATTTTTGCGAAGAAACTTCACCAGATTTTCACTGCTAGTCTGATTTCGGAATAAACGCTTCATTTGTTAGCGTATGTACGCAAGTTGTGCAACGTACGTATGCGTAGGTCGTGCACTTGTCAAACGCGCCTGGCACTTATCATTACGCGAAAATAAGGTATAGGAAATAAGTCACACCTTTATGGTGCATTGTATCAAAATAGTATCATGTAGTAGCTTACCTTAGTGGTATATTATTTAGAGGGTATCGTTATAAATACACAGTGCATGTATTTTGTGTTGACGCTGCAATCCTTGACCGGTATCCAAGTGTTGATGTTGTACTGATTTTATGACATCAAAATTTTTGAAATTTCTAAATTTCTTTCTTTATCGATGTTAAGTTTCGATACGTCAGATATTGATGAAAACATTTTTAAAAATGAAGAAGACGCCACCTACCTATCAATCAATCAATTAATCAATCGTTTGTGAAGCGCTATTTACGCGGTGTTCAACAGCGCTTAATCAATTGTTCACCTAAGCTCAATTAAATCTACATTTATTATAATGTACTTAAATTTAACACAACCTATTTACACACGTATGTATTTATTTAGGATAAAATATCAACGCCAGCTAACATAGAGAATAAAAGCAACTCGAAATTTTAACAAAAAAAAAACTTATTAAGCAAATTATGTGATCGTGATGAGAAGAAAATGTTTACAATAACAAATGTAAATCAGACGCAATTTGTCGAAGATAGGCAAAAAATGGACCGCAACCGTATGCCAACTGTCATGAGCTCATTGCAACGACCTAAAAGCGAACATACTGATTAGGATTTTGTGGTGGCGGATTCTGAGGAGGATAAGATCCGGGATTCTGAGGAGGATAAGATCCGGGATTTTGAGGAGGGTAAGATCCGGGATTTTGAGGGGGGTAAGATCCAGGATTTTGCGGGGGATAAGACCCAGGATTTTGCGGCGGATATTGGCCAGGATTTTGAGGGGGATAACCACCCGGATTTTGAGGTGGGTAACCACCTGGATTCTGGGAAGGATATCCACCTGGATTCTGGAGAGGGTATTGTCCAGGTGCTTGGGGTGGGTACTGCCCACTAGGTGCTTGGGGAGGGTACTGCCCACCAGGTGCTTGGGGAGGGTACTGCCCACCAGGTACTTGTGGGGGATACTGTCCAGGTGCCTGTGGAGGATACTGTCCTGGATTCTGAGGAGGATATTGTCCTGGATTCTGGGGAGGATACTGCCCTGGATTCATGTTGTAGCCTGAAGGTGGTGGAGCGGAGGGCTGAAATTTAAAAAATGAAAAATTATCTTGAAATTGTTTACAGATGATTGTTTATTTAATGTAAGAGTGAATGGGTATTACCGGCTGTCCGCCAACAGGATAAGTTGGGAAGGCTCCCCCAGAAAATGGTTCTGGCATTGTAACTGTTGCACCCTGAGTTTTGAATTTTATGTAAAAAAAGTTTAAATTAAGTTATCAAAAAAATTATCTGTTTAACAATAATAACATTTAATTAATTAAAAATATTAATAATTACCATATCATTTATTCATAATTATTAATTATATATAAAAAAATTAAAAAAAAAAATCCCAACTGCAGCCATGAAAGGACTATTTGCGTTTCCTTGCCCGTACGGAGGATTTTGAGGATAGAAATTACTCATTTTTATGTGCGTCAAATTTATTTAATTTAAAAAAATATAAATTTTGCAAATTTGAATCGAATAACGTCTCCCCTTAATCAAAAGTATTTGTTGCTGATGGATAGGGAAAACTTAGAGGATATATGCTGCGCTTAAAAGTAAATTTTTTTTTTTAAATTGATTAAAAGCGGCATCAAATTGTTCTAAAAATGGTGAATTTATACTTTTTTGTTTATTTTATTAAACTTTTAAAATAAATATTTTTATAAAAAAATTTATCTACTAAAAGTTTACCTCAATATTGGCTTTTTTTTTATCAATAATTTATCAAATTTTTCAGCACTCGCAATTCAATGGCTAATTGATTTTTTTGGATTGTTGGCTTACTCCGACCCGTTAAAGTTAGATTAACTTTTAAAATTTTAATATCACTTTGAAATAAATTTTTTCCGATGTAAACGAAGCCGAATAAACGTTAAAAATCAGACAAACGGAAACCAACAGATTATTATGGGTAAAATATCGGAATATATTGAATCTTTTCTATCGAAATTTCAAAAAATTGAATCAAAAGATGAAATTTCTACAACTATAGATACGAATATCTCTTCTACCTCTACCTCAATGACATCAACAACAACTGAGAATGAAAAAGAAAAGTGATCTAACTTCCTAACTGTTGCTAATTTATTTTTAAATATTGCTAAAAACTAAATTTGTTTGCTAAACTGATAATGAATAGTCATTCAATATTGTTTTTTTTTACTGAGTGATAACTATAATAATATAGAATTGATATACTTGACTTTTAGAGCTGTCTAGCTCTAGTCTAGCTTTTATCTCATCTAATTATTTACCTTATGAATAAAATAAAGTATATAAAAAACAGATTAAGTGCTTCTAGTACTAAGCAACTGAAGATTTTAGAATTAGTAATGTTTAATTATTTGATTAATTTTCATCTTTAGATGCAGCAGTTGTCGTTACACCGGCATTCTAACCACTGGCATAGGTACGTCACTGGTCATATACTTAATAAGGAAAAATTACCACAAATACCATGGTGCAACGAGGTATATGTACTTCGCACAAGGGTTTTTATTATCTATTGGTTAGACTGATTTCTTTTTTGTAATTTCATATATTTTGTTTATTTTGTGTTTTAGTCAGCAAATATTTTTAAGAATTGGATTAAAGTGTTTTATTTTCATAATTTTAAAGTTCTGGCAGGCCTGACAAGTTTGCAGATCACACGAGATGGTCCATTCAAAAACGACGTGACGCTATTCGAGTTAATTTCCAATGACATAAAACAGCTAAAATCAATTAAATCACCATTGAAAAAAGAATAAAAGTGGAATGAATTAAAAACAGAAAAAACTTTGTGAAATTAAAGTTATCATCATGATGTTTTAGTTTATTTTTACTTAAATACTTCTAAAAATATTTTAAATGAAAAAAAATTGTATCAGGTGATAAAACAATGAAGCCTGGTGACATGTAAAACGCATTTACATATATTATGTGTGTGTGTGACCGTGTGTGTGTGTGTGTGCGCGCGCGTGTGTATGTATTCTAATAAACTTGGCTACAATTAGGAACGTTGTAGTGCAGCAGTGTTGTACATAAAATCGTTTCATCTCACGCTAGCCAGTTAACTAATCAAAGTTTGACGTATAGGGTGTTTAAAAAGTTTAAAAATGAAGAATGTGTGATAGCAGTGGTACTTGTGGTAGCGATAGCGGTTGTTGACGCGTCGTATTAGCTACAAAAACCAAGGCATAATGGCGTCCCCGGTACCATTCGTATTCTATTTAATGTTTTCCAGGTTTAACCGCTTCAATGTTCGAATGTCTGAATTCGGAAGTTACGAAATAAAATGTAGATGACATCAAAATGATCATTTCTTCCTCGGTTGAATTGGAACTGGTCGCAGTGTCATTGGAGGCAGCATATTCAAACAGGAGTGGTGATGTTGGTGATTTTGTGTTCTATAAAGAGTTCGTTAGGATGCGTCGATTTGTAATGCTCTGTCGGAATCGTCGGTAGGCAGTTACCTACCGAATCCTTATCCATGATCGTGCTCTCTTTATCGTGCTCGAACAAGGCGTGAGACTCCGACATCGAATTGATCATGATCCTGCTCCGACTCGACGGAATGTTACCGACGTGGTTTGACCCTTCTGCCGACTGCTGTGGACTCGCCGGCCTGAGAAGGTAGAGTGAAATATTGTTGACGGCCGCTATCATGCTGGCGATGAAGGAGATGCCGTTGAAGAAGAACGCCCATCCGTACCGATACAGAAAGCCATCTCTCTCACCGGTTATCGATTTTCTTCTGTGCGACACTTCGTCGTTCACGGCAGAGATGTACAAGATGACTCCGAGTGCAAGCGACAGGGCTACAGAGATTTGAAAAATAATACTCAAGTTAGTAAAGGCGTTAACATAAGAATGAAATGAACTTAGAAAACTGGACAGAATAAATCATTTTATTTTTTTAACTTTTTCATAAACGTCCGCTGCACCAACTAAAACAGCATTGAAATTCATCCGTAGAAATATTTAAAAAAAATTAAAATTATTTATTTTTAACACATATTCATAAAATTCAAACTAATTATCTTTACCGGAAGTTATGTAAAGAATGGCCGCAAGTAGAGATCTGACGTCACGGCGGTTGCTGCCGAGAATGCTTAGCGACAGGGCGACAACCATAATAAGTAAACTTCCTGTTATGACTGGTGCTGCTTTCCTTATGGCTCCTTGTGTGTGTGTGCGTGTGTGTGTGTGTGTGCGTGCGTGTGTGTGTTTGCGTGCGTAGTACAACGTACGTATGTATATAATTGTGTTTGTAGTCTTGGGACAAATTTCAAAATTTTCATTATCAACTTTCGCCTCTTTTGAATAAAGAGGATTGCGAATAAACTTTGATGACTGCTGTGATAGATTGATAAATATCAAAATGTCAGACGATTTTTCATGTCATTATTTGTAACTTCCATTTTATAGAACGTGAATGTTTGTTATTTTTTACGTAATCACGCTATGATTCTGTGTTAATGTGCATACGTTTGTATACGTTCGTGTATGTGTATGTGTATGTGTGTGTGTGTTGTATGTGTGTGTATGTGTATGTGTGTGTGTATGTGTACGTTATATGTGTGTTGTATGTGTGTGCAGTATATGTGTTTAAGCGTATTTGTGCCCTCGTACACAGCATACCATGCGTAAATGAAACTGATTTTGTAGGTATGAATGAATGAGTGAGTGTTGATTGAATGAGCGAAATCAAACGAACGAACGAATGAGTGAATGAATGAAGAAATGATTTTCGGATGGATGAGGGAAGAGATGTAATTACGTCATCATTAAAGACGAGTGACGTCCACTTACTGTTTATAGCATGCGTGGTTTCGGTTCTGTCGGTATCTTGCCCGAAGTATTCGATATTCGTGCAGTGGAAGGTTATGCCATCGTCATATATTTGGTCTGCAAATGAGTAATAAATAAATAATATCGACAAATAAAGAAATTAATTAATTAGTTTACCATGTTAATTAGTTTATTAATCTACTTAATTAATTAACATGATTTGATTCATTTGATCTCTACATTTATATAATTTAATAATTAAAAAATTTAGAATTAATACAAAAATAAAAAGAAATTAATTGACGAAAAAAAAAACCTTCTGATCCCATAACACAGGACCGCCAGAGTCCGGAATGCACGTTGACTTTAACGAGAAACTTACTCCCATCAAATTCCGTTTTGTCCTGGTACTTCTCATCATCTTCACTATTCTCATCTTCTGCCTCTGCATTCGCGGTGTAGTACGGATCCGGATCAGATGACTGTGAATTGGTGTTGTTGATGTCGTTGCTGTTGTTACTGCTGCTGCTGCTACTGCTGTCAATGTAATCCTCATCGCTCGGAACTATCATTGGATCTATCTAATGGGAGAGAGATAAAATAAAAGCTCTAGTTGTTGCTGTTGATGCTGTTGTTGGTGGTGGTTGTGTTGTTGTTGTTGATGCTGTTTTTGTAGTTGATGTTATTGTTGTTGTTGTTGATGCTGTTGTTGTAGTTGATGTTATTGTTGTTGTTGATGATGCTGTTGTTGATGCTGTTGTTGATGTTGTTGTTAGTTTTATTGTTGTTGTTGTCGTTGTAGAAATAATAACATTAGTTGTATTTGTAATAGTAGTAGCAGAAGTAGCAGTAATTGTAGTAGTAGTAGCAAAATAAAATGGGAAAAATAAGAGAGGAGTTTTCTGGGCATACATTGTAAAACTTTTGTTGTAAAAAAAAGTAATTACGTATGTATGGATGTATGTATGTATGTTTGTATGTATGTATGTATGTATGTATGTATGTATGTATGTATGTATGTATGTATGTATGTATGTATGTATGTATTTCATTTTCATTTTCAGAGTTTTATTCATAATCAATAACATATCAAATAAGTGAATAAAAGTTATGAAGTTGAGTATGCGGAGACCGAATAAGACTGTTTGTCTTGTGGTGGCCACTGCAGGTAGATACATGAATAGTTAATGAAATAAAATAAGGAAAATAACTGAAGCAAAAAGATAATTGAAGATAAATAAGTAAATGTTCGTGTCATACATATATAGACATATAACTATGTAATTGTTCGCTCAGTACATATATAAACACATAAATGTTTAACCATTCATAAAGACCATTCATCCGCATCATTTGTTCTAACGTATTCTTAATATAATATTAGGTGGTGGAGTCGAGATGCAGTGTCAATAAAAAAGCACGGAATTTTGACTTGAAATGTTGTAGGTTTATGATGGCTCTTAGATGGGGAGGTACAAGTTCTGTCCAAATTTTAGGACCTGTTATTTTTATGCTTGTCTGGATTAATTTGAGGCGAGTTTTGTAAATATAGAAGAGAGGGGTGTGTCTAGTGGTTGTAGATTGAACGGAGTTACTTAATGTGTAGAAGTTGATAAAGTGGGGTGGGAGAAGATTGTTGATAAATTTAAAAACGAATAAAGCAGAGTAGTAAAGACAGATGAAGTTAACTGGTAAAATTTTTTTTGCTAGGAAGAAGGGTTTAGTATGAGAATCGGGTTTGAGGTTAAAAATTAAACGTATTGATCTTTTTTGGGAAAGTATTAGGTTATTCAGGTGGCTTTTTGGACTATTTCCCCATAGTGTGATGCAGTAGGTTAGATAAGGGTAGATGAATGTGTAATAAAACGTGCGAAGAGCAGAGTTTATATTTGATTTTGTAGAAGATGCCTGTGAGTTTGTTGATTTTGTCTGAGATAGTTTGTAGGTGAGAATTCCATGAAACATTTTCTGTGATGTATGTATGTATGTATGTATGTATGTATGTATGTATGTATGTATGTATGTATGTATGTATGTATGTATGTATGTATGTATGTATGTATGTATGTATGTATGTATGTATATTGTATATAGAGACCAAAATGATTGATGAATGATCGGCACACGAAATTAACCAATGATGAGTTGGGTCACATGTTCAAGAACCTATGATTACGTCACAATGAACGAAAGATGGAATTATGATAGATAGATAGATAGATGAATGAATGAACGAACGGACGGATGGATGAATGAATTGATGACTGAAGGAATGAATGATTGATTGGATAGATAAATGGATGGATAGATAATTAGAGCGATGAATCTATGAACGAACGAGTGTATGAATATGTGAATAAATAGACGCACAGACGGTTTGATGTACAAATGAATGAATGAATGAGTGAATTAATTAATGCATTATTGAATGAATTGACGGAAAAACGGTAAAATAGATGGCATAATAGAAAAACAACAACAACAAATCAATTCCATTTTCCCACTAACCCATTCTGTAGCGTAGAGCCAGAAATCCGTGGAGACGGCCAGCAAGAGGGTACCTGTAGCCACCAATCCGAATACAAGAGAGAGATATCCCAGTGTCCGTGATCCGCATTCGGTCGGTTGCATTTTGCCCATTTGTAAAGTTTCCGAAATTTTTTTTCAAGTTTTATCTTTTGAAAATTGTTTTGGCGCAATTTTCTTTATTTATTTAGCTCATTTGTAGTTTATTCATCATTGAATCGATTATTAGTTGGTTGGATCAGTCGGTCGGTTGGTTAGCTGGTTAGCTGGTTGGTTGGTGGATTAATGTTTAATTGGTTGGTTGATTGATTGAAGTTAATTTTCAAATTTTTAGCTATTTCCTTCCAACTCACCAGCTATCTATTTATTTGTTAAATTATCAATTAATTCACTTTGAAGTGAATTTTTGTACAGGCATTTTTATTTATAAATTCCTAAAGTATGTACCGTACGTACAATACACATATTTAATTATCTGCAAAACATTGTCAACCTCCGAAGAAGAAAAAATTCAAGATCTACACAAGTGCATGCGTTGGAATATAGACGAATGCATAAATGGTATTGTTATTATGTTGTCGTAGTTTGTGATAGAAGTAATCGTAGCAGCAGCAGCAGCAGTAGTAGTAGTAGTAATGGTAGTAGTAGTAGCAGCAGCAGCAGTAGCGGCAGCAACAGTAGTGGTAGTAATAGTAATGATATTGTTGTTGCTGCTGTAGTTAGTTTTGTTGCTGATGTGATAGAATTTCCGTTGTTGTTGCTATTGTTGTACCAGTAGTAGTAGTAGATGTTTAGTTGTCGTTGTTGTTGTTGTTGCTTTTGTTGTTCTTGTTTCTTATGTTGTCGTTGTTTTTTGGAAAAATAGTCAATCGCAGCAGCAGTAGCAATAGCTACACTTTTTGTTGCTGTTGTTGTTGATGTAGTTGTAGATGGCGTTGTTGTTGTAGTTTTCGTGGTGACGTATGAAAAATGACGAAAGCATCAGTAGGAGGTCTGTGACGTAATTGAGAATAAATAGGTAAGAAACCGCGTTAGTACATTCATTACACGACGAGACGGAAGAAGAAGATGAAGAGGAAGAGGATGCTGATGATGAAGAGGAAGAAAAAGATGATGATGAAGAGGATGCTGATGATGAAGAGGAGTAAGATTTAGATGAAAATAGTTATTTACTTATTTACGAAAGTTGATCGAAACAACATTTCGACGTACGCTAACGTTGCAGTACGGATAGATGGACCTATGCGTACGAACGTATATGCCTATATACATACATGCATACACATTCATACATACACACATACACACATACATACATACATACATACATACATACATACATACATACATACATACATACATACATACATACATACATACATACAA